TCAGAAATATAGGTTATATATGTCCAAGGACATCCATTTTTTGTTAATATAACATATTTATTGGTAACACTTTACAATAAGGTTGCATTAGTTAACATTAGTTAATGCATTAGTTAACATGAACTAACCATGAACAATACCTCTGTTCATCATTAGTTAATCTTTGTTAACGTTAACTCACACATATATTAATGCATCTATTCACATTAACAGCGCAGTTAGTTAACATTAGTTCATGCATTAGTTAACATGAACTAACCATGATCAACACCTCTGTTCAGCATTAGTTAACCTTTGTTAACGTTAACTCCCACATATATTAATACATCTATTCACGTTAACAGCAGAATTAGTTAAGATTAGTTAAAGCATTAGTTAACATGAACTAACCACGAACAACACCTCTGTCCAGCATTAGTTAATCTTTGTTAATGTTAACTCGCATACATTAGTGCATCTATTCACATTAACAGCGCAGTTAGTTAACATTAGTTAAAGCATTAGTTAACATGAACTAACCACGAACAACACCTCTGTTCAGCATTAGTTAATCTTTGTTAATGTTAACTCGCATACATTAGTGCATCTATTCACATTAACAGCGCAGTTAGTTAACATTAGTTAAAGCATTAGTTAACATGAACTAACCACGAACAACACCTCTGTTCAGCATTAGTTAATCTTTGTTAACAGTCTCGGGATGAACGCACAGAAAAATCCAGTAAATTATGCACGTTTATCAGTTTACGTTTATCAGATACGGTTAGAACGTTTAGCACGAAACTATTGAGAAATTGTTGATCCTGGTTTGAATGTTGGCAATAACTGAGAAAACGAAACAACTTTTAACTTAAATTTTTAACTAAGAAAAACTCTCTCTCTCGTCGGTGTAACGTAATGTGTTCAGGATGATTTTCTGCTCTAAATAAAGCAAGTGAAACAGACTCTTTGCATTAATACTAAGATCCTTTTATTTTCTAGATAAACCACATGGAGCAGCGCCAACTGTTTCAATAGCTTTGGCTAAAGCCAAGGCAGAGAATGACACCTTGAGGGTGAAATGTCAATATCTGCAGGAGAAAATAGAAGATTTGACTGCAGAAATTTCTTTTTTTAATATTTTAAAATATTTTTTATTGTCTATTTTAATTACTGAACCATGGCAGGTGGTAAAGCGGTACAAATCAGTTCTGGAGCTTATTGTAAAGTGTTACCTATTTATTGATATGACATTTTCTTTTAATTTATCATTTAGCCCATGCTTTTTATGTCACAAAATAGGCTACCTATTGCACAGCTGCAACTGTTCCTCTTTGAGGTGCAATGTTGATAGAGTAGTATGATTTATTGTACCATTAAATAGTTCTGATCATTAGCTGATCTAACCAGAAATTATAATAATCAGGACATAACTTTGTTGTCCATCTAAGTAACCTGCCAGTGGAATCTGTGCAAGGAAAAAAGGCATCTGTTATAAAAGCTGCCACATAATATTTAAATAGTTTGCATGTGTGAAGTTTACTTCTTTGCTTACTGATACACAAAAGTAAGTAAACGTTTGAATTCTCTGAAGTCGTATTTCTACTTCAGCTATTGCACTTATTATGGCAGTTCATATTATGCTTAAGGCACATTAAGGGCGGGGAAGTCGTGGCCTAATGGTTAGAGTATGGCCTTGAGCAAGGCACCGAACCCCCAACTGCTCCCCGGGCGCCGCAGCATAAATGGCTGCCCACTGCTCCGGGTGTGTGTTCACGGTGTGTGTGTTCACTGCTGTGTGTGTGCACTTTGGATGGGTTAAATGCAGAGCACTAATTCCAAGTATGGGTCACCATACTTGGCCACATGTCACGTCACTTTTTAAGTAAATTCATTTCCTACTCAGTTTAGCACAACAAACTCCCAATGTCAAATTAATTCCAAAGAATTACTTTTAAAACTTCTGGTTAAATAATATTTTAAATATACCAACAACCAAGCACTATTTAAAAAAAGAAAATACAACACAACAAATAAAACAAAATGTCTCTTTAATTTGTAAGTCAACAGCAGTACAAAAGAAGGAGTGATGTTGAGACGATTTTGTCATATGTGTGTGTACTCTATCCTTTATGGAAAAAGAGGAAATCTTGAGGTAAATAAGCAAACAGACAGGAACACCCTCATCTGCCGTCGTACATCAGTGAATTGAGAATATACTGTAAAAATGGTGTTACATTACAATATGCCAAATGCTGCTTGTGGGGAGAACAACCTAGATATTTGTACAATCCACTAAGGTGTCTAAACACCGAATTGTGTCACTCATCTGGTTTATTTTATTTGATATAATAATACTACCATTACAGAGAAGACTGGTCTCTGGACATACAACTGTAGCATTAATTAGTTTACCTCACGTCAATACTGCACATGGAAACCAATGACTTGCTGGTTTACATACTAAAGCCAAGCAAAACATTTTTTTTAGTACTTTTTTCCTTTATTTTTTTTTAAAACAATAATATCCTTAGCAAATAGCTGTCTTTTGTACTGTATAAAGAAGAATGTGAACACAAATATGATGGCAACCCTTTTAAGTTCAATTAAAAACTTTACACTGGACTGTACAAGATATTATGATAAACTATTTACATTTTTAGACTTAAAACTTTTTTTTTTTCCAAAAGCAGCAACAGATACTATTCTATATCTCTAACGCCCAAACAATAATACCTGCCATGGGTCTATGTACCTGCTGAGAAACCGATCTCTACACACACACACACACACACACACACACACAAAAGACAAAATTAAAGTGTTATCAGGCTGCTAGCAGGATTCGAAACAGGAGTGCACCTAGCGACAGAGGAGCCACACACAGTGACGCTTGAGAGACTACAGAAATCTAAAAGCGAAGTAGCATTGACAACAGCATACGTTGTCCCTGACAGCAACATTTTACTCTTCTGAACAGCAGCTAGCATGTCAGTCCAGCATGTCAGTAAATTGTGCTGATTTAAATTAACAAAAACTATCCCACAATATACATCACAAAAGACCATACCAAAAAAAAAAACATTACAGTAAGATAAGTAGAAACTCCCAAGCTTTGTCCTCAGTTATAGTACCTACTTTGCATTAATATGGCAGTAATAATTGTGTATTATAAAAGAAATGTCATTTAAACTTGTTGTTGACTGGATGGGAAATGGTCTATTAAACACTATGAAGCAACACAGAGAAAAATACTGTATGAAAACATCACATGCACAGAGTGGGTCTGCATCGTGCAGCATAAAAACAAAAAACACACAATCATAAATATTTGCACATCCCCAATGGATTACATGCTCAGCGAGAAACTCACATGTTTTCAGATGTACTGTGACACGCCACAACTGATGCCCCACAATGACGTTCTCTCATTCAAATTTGGCACAAAACCAATTATTATATAACTTCAGCAAGTACCTCAACATTTAGAAAACAATTTGTAAAATAAAAGAAAGAAAGAAAAAAAAATTACGTACATGGATTTCAAGATTTGTCCTTTGCTACAGACTGCATTAACAACATAGCAAATGGCTGGTTAACTTAGCATGGAGTGCGAGGTTCATCACTGAAACACATGGAAATGAGATGCCCGGGTGTCTCAGCTGTGTCTCCAATGCTACTCAATCAACAGGGATGTGAATTTAGCAACTACATGAGGTACAGTGAATTGTGTTTGTGATTTTGTTCTTTTTTTCTAAGTACAATGACCAAACACACACACACACACACACACACACACACACACACACACACACACACACACACAATACATAATTTATACTTCAGTAAGTATCCATGAACAAAAATAGAATTCTATTTTCCTATATTTACATTCAAAAAGAAAAAAAATATATAAAAAAAAAAAACTTTGTTTTGAGCTCCAATCCATTTTGAAATTTCACTGTTTTTATTCTTGTTCTCTGATTGTCCTTTAATTCTGTTCTACTGACACTTTTAGAGCCAATAATGGCTAATAAATACAATAAAATGTCTATATGCACTAGAGAGCTTCAAATACAATATACAACACAAACATACATGAGCATTAAAATGTGCTACTGAAGTCCGGTGTGTCTCAGTTGGCCAGAAACTACGCGAGCCACTCC